GAGAGAGAGAGAGAGAGAGAGAGAGAGAGAGAGGCTTACCTGGACTTACCTGTTGGTGTTGCTGTGAGTGGAGGGTAAGTGCTTTGCTATTGAAGGCCGGTATTGCTGTCTCTGGTGTGGTTCTTCATTGCACCTGATTGTCATTGCTCTCCAGAACTACTTTGTGTGTTGGGGTGAGGTGTTCTGGGGAGAAACTTGGGCTTCATCACTGGTAGACAGATTGGTTGGTGATTACTATGGTGGAGAGTGGAAGAAGAAGAAGAGCCTTCAGTTTAAAGTGTGGAATGACCATTACTTGAGATGGCCTCCTCCTATTTTTCTCTTCCTTTGTCTGGACTCTTGTGTAATCGCTATCTCTTGGTTATTGTTATTCATTGAGCATAATGAGTTACGTGCATGGTGATGTTGCGAGCTTCTCCTTTTTGGGTTCTTTAGTATCTTTACATGTTAATTACTGTACCTAAGTAAATAGAAGTGGCAATGTGTGAAAGTTGGCTTTCATTTGCTGGGGTTGGACAATGTGCTGCTGACTCCTGTTTCCTTTTCTTCCTTGCAGTCAGACTGCTGGGCAGTAGAGTTTGGCGTGGCAATGAGAAGAAAAGTATTGGCAGCAGCACAGTTACCAACTCAGGTAATGAAGAAGAACCACTTGTGTTTGCTTCTTGTTCATTTGCTTCTTCTTGTATCTGGAACTCTTTTGAATATTCTTCACTTGTTTGGTTTGCTGTGTGAAGAGGCCTATTAATCTTTTTGGGAAGGTCGCAAAGCCAGAATGCACCTCAACATGCCGACCCCCGTGTGCATGGGTTTTTGCATGACCTGCGGATGCCAAGGTACTACCCGAATCTGCTGATTGCCTTAGGCTCTAACTAGATCTGGCCATCAACTGGATTAGGGAAAGGACTTCACGCCTCCCGGCATCGAGACTCAGTGTCACATGTACGATAGCATCTCTCAAATAGGTACAATTGTTAGGTTGAGTCCGGCAGCTCATGTAGAATCCAGTAGGTCTGTAAGTCCAGTCATCTCCGGTCTGTTTGTCAGTCAAACCCAGTCGGCAGCTCAGCCCCGGGAAGTCAGAGAAACTACCAGATGCGTCGAGGGCGGCCACAGCCAGCAAAGGCAGGTACCGGTCTGGAAAAGTGTAGCGGCAGCAAGTTGTTACCGCAAATTTGACTTCAGTTTGCTGTGGAAGTGCTGCCGTTGTCTTGTGCTGCCAAGCGTTGAGTGAGGTTGAGCGACAGTCGAGTGAGTAGTTGAAGTGAGAGGAAGACATTCAGAGAGACAGTCTAGTGTGTGTGTGTGTGTGTGTGTGTGTGTGTGTGTGTGTGTGTGTGTGTGTGTG